CTCTAGAAATCCCTGCACTGTCTAAACAGAGGCACCTGGAATCAAGAGTACAGTAAAACCAAAGACGCTCTGGTTCAAGAGACAACCACAGTTCATTTTAATGAGTGATTTTGTATCTCCACTCTACGTCTTTTCTTTGGAGAACAAAAAGAAGATGGAAAGCTGAATGAAGCCATTCCTCTTTTGCGTGCCTTGCAAAACATGTCCGTCATTTCATGAACAAACAGTCGAGTGTTTGCTTCTTCCTCCAGATGGTAGACTTTCCTCCCCCTCATTTCTTTTTGTTTCTCTCACGGTGCTTCCTATTGTCTAACCCCTCTGGCCCACAGAGCTCTATAGGCTACAGTGACTGATTTAGACTCTCTTTACCTTCTAGAGAGTAAAAAAAACAGGACTAAAAGTGACACTTTTAGACAACCCCATTATACAAAGACTTTCCTGTGCTAATCAACTCCTGCTGAAGGCGCGGCTCCCATCTGAGTCTCAGCCTCGGCTCCGTTCTGTAGCATACGATCCAAAGAAATCACAGACATGTTATGCAACAACACCCACACATCTTAAGTTTCATACAGATGACTGCATTTTTTACAATGAGCTCTGCTGGGATGTTGATGGAAAGTTGAAAGAGGATTTTCAACATGATGATATTGTTCATCAGCAGATGCGAAAAACAGTAAATCAAATTAACACATACAACCACAACTTGTTGTTTTAATACGTATATAGTTTTTTGCAATGATAAAGAAACAAGATATGAACTGTTATTCTGTGAGTTTTAGAGATGCTGGTAGACAGAGTTTGTCTGGCTAGTTCCTTCCATCTGTTTGCAGTCTGTAGTATCGGAAATTCCTCCGATACTGTCCAAGAACACGTGTCTATGCACCGATCCTGTACCACATAATTTATTTGCCCCAAAACTGCCATTTTTCCCCCAAATATAGCAAAGTCATGACCCACCATACTCTGACTCTGACAAAGGGTTTAACCTGACCCAGGCCATACAACAATGGCAGAAAGTATACAGGCTTATGGTGCGTTCCATTTACCTCAGAAGTCCGAAGTCGGAGCTGGGAATGACATCGCACCCAGGTTGACCACGTTCCAGTACAACAAGTTGGAAAACCAAGCTCTAGGCAGGTTAGCCATTAGCCACTTTTAGCATTACCAGTTGATAACAACACATTAAACTGTATTTTCCTCATACAGACATCTCCACAGACAGAGGTTGGACAGTACTGTGTGCACAACTGATTTAATGAGACACACAAGACAGAAGTGCTTATAAACAGTATAGTACTACAGTTTTCACTTAGTTGATGTGCAAAGCAGCCATCTTGTATTTTTGAGGTCAGGGTTGGTGGGGTTGTTCCAACTTTCCCAGTTGAAAATCCAACTTAAGGGGGCATGCCAGTTGAAGACTTCTCAGTTCAAATGGAATGCACCACCTGTAGTATACACAAAATTATTATATATATAATCTATTTTTTAACTTACATGTATCGGATTGGTACTCAGGCATCAGAATATCTCTAGCTATTAGAGTGGTATTAATCATCTCATCTATGTTCCAACTGTGCTGCAACTATCCTTCAAACGTTACAGATGCAAAAATATTTACATGGTTTCACAATATATGCATTTGTGGCCAGTACAGTGGAACCGAAGCAGTCAGCGTTTTGAGGAAGTACTGGCAACTACGGGGCTGGGCACTCGTTAAACATCAATGCCAGCAGTGCGCCCTATGGCTCACCTGGTGTAGCTGGTGCCCCATGTACCAGGGGCTGGGTTCTTGCTGCAGTGGCCATCGGTTTGGGTCGGGCTGCAACAACCCTGAAGGCTTTTCTCCATGGAAAATATGTTTTGGCTCTTGTACCGACTGGCTTCAGTAAGAATGGTTGAAGTTAGCTTGTGATAGACGGTGATGGTGCCCTTTTTCAAGCAGCTTTCAACAATGACTTTCCAGATGGTCATGTGTAACAAACCATCTGGTGTAATCACTATATTGTCTATATCCATGCTTATTGTCACTGTGCTTTAGTTGAATCCATAGGACTGGGGCAGTGCCAGCTCTTACCCACCTCCACACCCACACCCAGCCCTGTAACTCTATCTCTGGGATCCAGCAGCATCAAGTTAATATCATTACTTGTCACAGCAGTTTAGAAATAAGCTGCAGGGATAAAGTTACGGTGGATCATTTCAGCAGAACCCTTTGACGGACTTCTGCATCTCTAAACCCACCACATATGATCCCAGACATCTGATAATGAGATGGCGTGTTGAAAAAGTAATGACTTAATTTGGAAGCGACTCAGAGTCCCACAGTTTACAAGCAAGTTGTAAAGGAGGACGAAAAAAGCACTGCATCTCACTTAAAGCTGAAAACACAACACCTCAACTGGGCACCTTTCTCTCTAGCCCGTGTCCTCGGATGAGACGTGACTGAGCTAGCACTGAGGCGAATCAGTGGGAATATTCATGGAGCTTGGTTGCTAAGATCCATAGGACGGGGGTGCTTGTGTGGTATTGTTCAGTCGTGAGCAGAGATTGATGAGAACGGTCAGTCTGTTGAGGTTCTCACTCAATGGAGCTTTCTCTTGACAAGTCAGAGCCTTTGTGGTGTTGAATTATTTGCCATTAGGGTATCAATGGAAGGGCAGTGAAAAGACTTTGGAACGCAGTCTGCATAGATTAGTGGAGTTTAGGGTTAAATGAAGGGTATTGTGGTTGTGAAAATTGTTATTTAGAATCACCTAAAGGCAGGTAGTAGTGAGGACTTCAATCCTATCGGTCTGATGGCGTGTGATTGTGTCTTAGTGTTCATAATAACAGCATTAGGTAGATGTTACAACCATTTAGAGACATCTGTTACGTAAGAAAGCCAGACCTGCAGACACTGATTATATGGCTGGAGCAGAGACAACAGACACAGAGATAAACATTAAACCAATAGCTTTGTACTTTAAAACTCCAATTACACCCTTACTTCCAGCAAAATGAATAGTTCCCAACAGTAGCGGAACTCAGGCAAGACCAACCTGCCACACACGATGCCTGTTAAATAAACTAAGACACAACAAGGCTGAAAATTGGAATAGTAAACCACATCAAGCCTTCATAAGTAGCGTGGCAGAGTTTTCCAGGCATTAAGCCAGAGGTAAACAAAGTCATTTTAGTCTAGGAGGAATTATAATTCCTTATGGTTTATTCTAGCCACAAAAGCCTCCTTAATGCAACAACGTGCCAAAAAAAGCCCTTCTTCCTCATGACATGATGAACAGCCAGACACTTGTTTTGCTCAGGGTCTGACAGCTGATTGGACCTAATGAAGAGGTAAAAAGTTTTTGTCTAGCCTATGCACTTGCTCCGTGACCTTGGGGCAGCATTTATTTTGATACATCAATGTGCCGCTGATATAATTAAAAAAATAAAATAAAAAATAAATAGACATTTTTATGTCAGAATGCCCTTTTTTAAAAGTCTGCTTTTATTTTATAATGGCATTTCTTCCTGTATTTCCTGCCACTTTCGTATTGCACAATGTCACTTTTTATTGTAATGTTGTCTCCGCTCACCTCTTAGCTAATCACATATCCCATGCCTCTTTAAATTCCCATGACACATGAAGTGTGTGTCTGCAGACCGGACACTTTGAGAGGGTGGGAAAACTATTTTAAATGGGAGTGTTAACTATCAGTTTAACCAATTTGTTGCCTGACAGTGTCAATCTGCTTTCAATTCAGCAGTTAGAGTATTATAAGGGGGATAGAAGGGGCATGGATAAGATTGATTTAGCCATACAAGATGTTTTAAGTCTCCATTCAGGAATAAGATCTCCTAAAATGACATATTTCTTTAATCGGTGTAAATACATTAAAGGCACCCAGCAGAGTTTTTGACCACTAGCAGTACTATGGAGCAACATTTCTATGAGTGGGTCCCTGTTTTTTGTATCAGGCATGAACGTGCAGGCAAACAGGATACACATTTACTGCTTCTGGTTTCACGCTATTCTTTTGATCAACAACTGGTGGCGATAACACACCAAGAAATACAGCAATGTGTCAACAAAGGCAATGAAGAAGAATACTGCAAGCAAATGTGGATGTAAACAATGCATTATTTAAAATCTTTAAAAATTTAGCTTTGCAAATGTTTTATGAGAAAATAAATGGCCAACTGTTAGATATACACAGTGTGTTGTGGTGAGAAACACTGAATGCAAAATTTGTATTAATTTACAGGAAAACTCCAGAGTGCCTGTAAGTTAACTGCTCCTAACAACAACAACCACTACC